CCTGGAGACGAACCCTCTATTCTAACTCTGAGACTCAGAGGGTTACATTCATAAAGCAAACATTAACTGGGGCTCTTTTCCTCTTCCAACACTCCCCCCAGGTGCGCTGGGATTGGGGTTTTTCAGGCGGGGAGATATGCGTGAGGCCCAAGGCGGTTCCCCTGCGGCTTCGCTGCCACCTCGGACACTGTCTGAAGTAGGACGCGGTGCGGGCCGCCCAAGAGCTCCGACCTGTCTTCACAGGCAAAGAAGCTCCAGCTGACAGAGCCCGCAGCGGACCCGAGACCTGGGGAACGTGAGGGTAGCCTCCCCAGCCCGGGCCTGAAGTGAGACCCGCCCATCCTTCCCTCCCTGGCGCGAGCCCGCGTGCGTTACCTACGAAGGCAGGCGCCACTCCACTGCACCTCTCCTCGCGCCGCCGCACCCTGCGCCCTGTTCCACTGGCCTGCCCCTCGACCGCCGCCGCATCCACCGCGCAAGCGCGATGCCTTGCACCACCGAGAAGCGGAGGACCACACTGCTAGAGTGGCCGACCGCTTCAACAGCCATCTGAGAAAAAATTGGCCGAGGCCAAGAGCCCTGGATGCTGGGACCTGGAGCCAAACCCGGCCGCTTTCCGGGATCACACCTTTCAACTCAGGGGAGTAGGAAGTCTATTGCTCTACAGAACTGTGGTTAGGCAATTGCTGCTGGAAAGGTCAGCACGCGTTGATCAGTAATAATAATGATAATGACAGTTTACATTTTAAAGTGCTTATTCTGGATTGGGCACTGTGTAAACTACCCTTATGTGTATTATCTCAGTCTTCCCAAGAGTCCTTAATGTTAAGTACATTTGTTTTATTGATGAGGAAACTCGGGTGTAGAGAGGTGACAGAAACAAACCCCTAAGACACTAGCCAAGATTCAAACCCAGGCCTTCTGAACCGGGAAATCCCAGGGTTAGCCCTTTAACTCTGTTGGCTTTCCCTCCATGTTACCACTTTCACAAAGTTATTTTAGATTCCGCCCAGCAGCAGACATCATTCCTTCCTCTAATCCTTCATTTCATGATTTTTAGCCATTTCCTGCTTTCTTAGTTCGTTTATGGTCTCTCTGGGTGTGGGAGATACAAAAGTAAATAAGACCATAAAATGCAATTTAGTTCCTCTTGGGTAGCCTCTCTCCCCTAGTAGGCCTTTTCCTGAGAGCAGTAACGTTATCTTTCTCTTAACTCTGCATGAGTCAAGAGGTAAAGAGCAGGGGCCTTGGATTCAAATAGATCTAGGTTAGGATCCAGGCTGCACCATTAAATACCTCAGACCTTAAGCAAATTCCCTCTATGTCTATGTTTTCTGCAACAGCAATTATTTATTGAGCACCATTCTGTCTAGCACAGTGTTCGGCAGTAGGATTACAGTAGTGAACAAACAGGTAAGGTCCTTGCTCTCTTGGAATGTATATTTTAATAGGGAGAATGGATAATACATATTAAAAAAATAAAATAGGATAATATCAGATAGTGATTATTGGGGGGGAGGGGGGGGGAATGAAGTCAGTATTGAATTTGAGCTGAGGCCTGAAGAATAAGAATACATAATACGAAGATCACAGTCGAAGCAACTTTTACTCTGTGGCAGGCACTGTTCTAAGATACTATTTTATACAGCTGGGAACAGAACAATCTAGATTCATGCTCTCATGAAACTGGCATTCCAGTGTATGTGAGCACCGGAGGCAGCGATGGAAACAATAAAATAAAATAAGATGATCTAAGAATAAGGGATTCAGCAGGGGCTAATTTTGATTGGTCAGGGAAGTCTTCCTTGAAGTGGTGATATTTAAGCTGATATCTGTGTTTAAAAAGGAGTCACCCATGTTAGGATCTGAGGGAAGAATGTTTCAAGCAGAAAGAACAGCTAGAACAGAGGTCCTAGGCAGTAATGAACTTGGTGTATTCAAAAAAGAGAAAGGAAACCAGTTTGCTGGAACATAAGGAGTATACTAGGTGACAGAACTCATATAAGGTTTAAACAATTTTTTCCAGCTTTATTGAGACATATATAAAGTTTTATGAGCTAGCATAAAGAGCTGGGATTTTATTCTACGTGCAATGGAAAGCCATTCAAGGCCTTTAAGCAGGGGAATGACATGATCTGATATGTTTGCAAAACATCATGGGAGCAGGGCTGGAGTGAACAAGAGATATTAAGATATTAAGAGTGGAGGCCGGAAGATCAGTTAGGAGTCCCTTGCCAGGTGCGGGATGATGTGACTTAGCCCAGAGAGGTAGTGGAGATGTACAGTAGTGGACAAATTCAGGTTATAATTGAAAGGTAATGATATGGATAGCGGATGCGGCACAGGAATCAAGGAACACACCTATAGTTTTGTCGTGAACAACTAGGTGGTCGTTTACAGAGATAAACAAAAGTAGGTGGAGGGAATCAGAATTCTCCTCGTAGCTAACAGCATTTATTATTCATCACCTGCTTACTATGTGCCAGACGCTGTTAGACTGTTTACAGATTTTTCTCCTATTAAAATTTCACAACATTGCCAGTAAAATAGCTCAAGTTTGTAAATAAAGAAGTTTAGGTTCAGACTATTGGGTAAGGGGCGGGGGCTGTTCTCACCTCTAAGAATTGGTGGAAGCTGAATCCGCACCTCAACCTGTCTTCACGGTCTCTTCTCTGTGTAACCAAGACAATTTTCTCCTCGGAGGTCAGAAGGTATAAGATCTAAGCATTTCCTCCCTGGTACCGTCGGCTTGGAGTGATTGTCACCGCCCATTTCGTCCTAGTCCCTCCTCCCCGCATCCAGCGCGTAGTTCCATATGAATGAAATTCCGAGACTAGTAACCGGGCTCAAACTTTCCTCCCGCAATTGGTCAGTGCTGAAGGAGGAGCCTCGCGATTGGTGGAGAGTCCGAGGGCGGGCGGGGGAAACTTCTTGTACCTCGGTGTCCTCTTTTGGCACCAATTCCCCTACCGCCCTTTTACGTAGTTTTCTACGACTCGCGGGAGCCGGGGCTGAGCGGATTCCAGCGGCGGCGCGACTATCTGACGTTCCCTCTTCTAATTGGCCAGGAGCTGCGGCTGTAGTTCCGAAGCCTAACTGGCCGACAGCGCCGTCTCGAAGGTGAAGTGTACTGCGCTGATTGGCTGCGAGGCGCCGGCCGCGTGTGATGCCCCGAGCAGCGATTGGCTCTCACCTGCCGGGGGCTTCTCTCACCGGGACTCGGGACTCCCGGGAAGCGGACTGGCAGAGGAGGGGGCAAGCTAGCTGTCGTTCCGGACCGAGTCGGAGACCCCTGCGTGAGGCGGCATCTCAGGGCTGGGTGGTCTGGCAAGCCGACGCGGCGGCGGCGGAGGCTGTGAGGAGTGTGTCGGGGCAGGGGCCGGCACAGAGGCAGGCACAGGGAAACCATGGCCCCACAAAACCTGAGTACCTTCTGCCTGTTGCTGCTGTACTTTATCGGGGCCGTGATCGCCGGGTGAGGAACGGGCACCCGCGGGGCACGGGGCCCGTGAGTCAGTCTTGGCTGGGACGAGGCTGGAGGGATGAGGAGGGGGCATTGCTGTAGTGAGGCGGTGGGCTGGAGGAACGCGTGGTATGGACCAGGCTAGTGGGGTGGAGAGGAGAGCGATGAGAAGGACTTAGCCCCAGAGATCCTA